CCTGAACAGTCATATCTGTGGCTCCACCGACCTCTTCTTTTCCACCTGAAATCTTGACCACAAATTATTTGGAAAGAAATTAGACCCCAAGGCAAACAGCCCCCCTTAACAGCAACTGTGCCAGGTATATACTAGTAGCCCGCTTTTATCTTTGTGCCATTATGAACTGCATTTAAGTCAATGCTCAGTTTATCAGTTTATTAAGTTGCCCAAGTTCATTTCTTTATTATTTCATGGAAATCTGAATCAGTCAGACAGACAGTCACACACTAGCCAAGGGGACCAGCTGAAAGCCACCAGACCTGGGTAAGCAGGAGCAGTAATACACAGAGAGGCGGGAAGCGTCTGGACGGCCCAGCACGGAAGGGGGCCCAGCACAGTAAGTCCCACTCAACATTCGAAGAGGCTTCTGGGGAGAGATCGACTTATAAGTGAAGAGCCTCCAGCCTGCCTAGGCTTCCAGGCCTCCTGCCCCGACTTGCAAGCTCTGAGCTCCCCAGTGTCACAAGAAGCTCCTAAGAAGATAAACACAGCCCCAGTCGGAGAGAAAACTGACGCTGGATCCCAGCGTGGCTGGAGACGCACAGGGGAGAGGAGTGACAGAGAAGGGCGGTGCTCGTGCTGCATAAGACGCCTTTCCCTTAAAGCTGGGAAGATGGGGGCTTACCCGCTGGGCTGGAGAGGCTGCGGCCAAACCCGGCCGCCCGTGCCCTCCAAGCAGCTGCCGCCTGGCAGCAGGGGCCGAAGTCCTCCAGCGCCTTCATCAAAGCACTCAGCACCAGTACCCGCTCCAAGCGAGACCTGCCAAGGACTTCTGGGGGCCTGAGCCAAGTACCCAAGTGGAGGCCCTGCCTTCCTGGCCAAGGAGACCCAACCCTGGCCAGCTGGGAGCTTGTTTGCCCAACAAAGAGACAAAGGCCTTTGTGGGGCCAGGACTTCGGGTGGTCACCAGCTTGTGCTCTCGGCCGTTCCCATGTGCTAGGCACTGTGCTGAGCACTGGACATGGATCAGCTCTCAGAGCCTCAAAACTGGGGGAGCTGAGGCACAGAGAGGTTGTCTGCCTAGAAACCAAAGCCCGGAAGGAGCAGAGGCAGGATTTGTACTCAGGGGTCTGCACGCTCGAAGACGTCCACACCCTAAGCACACCCAACACACACTCATTTAAACACATGGCTACAGGGAAAGGAGGAGGAAAACGAAGTGGGCCCAGGATGGACGTCGGCTCCTATAAACGTTCAACGCCCAGGCCCTAGGAACGTGGCTCTAACTGGAGACTTCACCTCCGCCTGGTTTTCTGTGACCCGACCCTGGCCCCATCAGAGGGTTTGCAGTTTCCACTATCTCAATTAATAAAGACATTATTTTTTAAAAGACTTTTTATTGATTTTAAGAGGGGGGGGAGGGGAAGAGAGAGAGAGAGAGAGAGAGAGAGAGAGAGAGAGAGAGAGAGAGAGATTGAGAAACATTGGTGTGATAGTGAAACAGATCAGCTACCTTCTGCATGCAACCTGGCATGTGTCCTGATCAAGAATTGAACAGGCAACCTTTAAGTGCACGGGATGATGCCCAACCAACTGAGTCACACTGGCCAGGGCTAATGACGATATTATTAACCACGTTTAAAGCCGTCCCATAGCTCAGAAAGGACATCCAGGGCCCACGTGGCACAACTATGGGACCACCATTCAGTAAGGCAGCAGGGCAGCCCTAACGGCCATGCAGGGAGCACTTACAGAGACCACAATGAGAACGGCACCCCCTGGAGTTGTGCAGTGTGTAACCTGCACAACCTTGCACGGCAGCCCTGGGTGCCTCCTTGGTGTTCTTCCCATCACCGATATTAAGCTACAAGGAAGATTTCATTTGTATCACACTGACTCGGGCAGCTAAGCTTTGGGAATGTTCTGAACCTCGCGGAAGTCCTGTGGCTGGGAATCGGCAGTGCCGAGACTTAGGAACTTGAACCTGGGTCTCCGACACCAAGCCACGCCCCTGCTTATCCCCAGATGGTGCTGCACGTCTCCTACGGAGGCTGCGACAGCACCAAGACAATTGTTCAGGATTGCCTGTTCCCATCAGTGATGATGAATTAGGAGTGTCCTCTCGCTGGATTTTATACCACATGCAAGTGACACATGAGAAATGGAGCTTCCTTTGACTAAACGCGGAAGAAGATTGGAGAGCGCTGAGCTGGGGGCTTGCTGCCCTACAAGGGAAGGATGCCTCATGGCACGAGTTTGGTTGCACCCTTCTCCCACCGGCTGGAGAAGATGTTCAGTCCAAGGTTTGTGCCTTGCCTTCCAGTTCCCCCACAGCCCTGGAGCGACACTCCCTGCAGCCAGCACGTGACCACACCCCAGGTGGGCACTCGGAAAGCTGTGCCGCACAGCCTTCACCTTGACCGAACCACCAGGCCCACAACAAGGGTTCTTGGTGTGACAGCTTCCTTCCCATGGCAAATGCTGCTGTCCCCACGTACCAGACATTTATGGGGAACTGACGGACTGCAATGGGTAATTACGCTCTAAGGCAATAGATGCATCCCCTGACCTGACCGCAGCCCACTGTCCTTCTCCAAAAGGCCCTGCCCCAGCTCATACTGTGGTGGAAGCCATCACCGCAGGGGGCAGGGGGAACAGTGGAGAAGACAGAGGGACTCAGAGCTCTGGAGAGAGGAAGCGACAGGGTTGCCTGCCTCTGTGTGTGTGTGTGTGTGTGTGTGTGTGTGTGTGTATAAGAGAATCATGGTGCCCGTGTGTGCGTGTGTAGCTGTATGTATGTGCCTGTGTGTATCTGCATGCTTGTGCGGGTATCCTTGTGTGGGGGGCATTGCCAGGTCCGTCCCTGTGTGTCACTGCGCTTGTGTGTGTCCACATGTCTGAACGTGCTCACCCTCTGTGCCCGCCCGCTGTGCAGCTGGCAGTGCATAGCTGGCCCTGGGCTGTGCCCGCCCACCGGATGAGAGGTGGCAGGTGTGTAATAAACCATTAGTCACTGTCACGTTTCTGAGCAGCAGCGGCCTCCCCGGGAGAGGCTGACAGCAGGATGGAGCTCCTGGCGGGTCTCTGGCTGTGAAGCTGCACCCGCTACTCTCCAGGCAGGGCTGCAGCCTGATGGGGAGCAGCTGGCAGACGTGAGCCCTGTGCCCCTGCCCTGCCCCAGGCAGCCCCAGGGCAGGGGGCTGGGCCTTGTGTGTGCCAGCCGGGAGGGTGGGTAGTGTCCCTGAGGGTCATGGTTTGAAGGCTATTACCCAGAGCTGAGGGGCAGCTGGGTGGAGGCAGATCATGGTAACAGCCTCAGGGATGCTCCACGCTGCCTGGAGGAGGCGTCAGCTGGGTAACTAGGCATTATAATAACAATAGCGCTGACACCAGCCAGCTCTGTGGGCACTCAGGGTGCCAGGACCTGCACTGAATGCTCTTCATGTCCCGGTTAATTACTCTCACACCTGCCTTCATTCCCACTTCTCAGATGAGAAAACTGAGGCATGGAATGGGAGAAGACATTCATCCAAGGCTCTGAGTGTGCTGGGGAGCCGGGGGAATGTCTCCCCCTAAAGCATCCCTGCCCACCACCTGCAAGCCCCCCCTTGCCACCTGACCACCTCATCCCCATCTGCCCATAAGCTCCTGGTCAGCAGGGTCTGTCCCTGGCCCGAGGCCCAGCCCCTTTCCTAGCTGAGTCCACATCACAGAGAGAAAGAGGTGGTACTGGGGTTGCCTTGGAGATGAATGCTACAGATGACAGGAGAACAGGGCAGGCCACCCCCTCCCCCGCTCCCCTTACCTGCTAGCCTGACTCCTCCCAGCTCTGGCTCACTTCGCAAACAAGCCCAGCTTCCAGCCAGCTGTCCACACAGTGGGCCAGCACAGAAAGGCAGGCTGGGGTCTCGGGACTCAGTCCTCTCAGGGGCAACAACAGGGCAGGACACACACAGGAACCCCCTCAACTGACAGAAATATGACCCAAGGGACTCTCCTGGATAAGAATGTGGGTGTCCACCACAGGCCGGAGTCCAGCTAAAGGGCCCCCCTGGGATCCACTCACTGCCCCAGCCCAGGGCCCACAGGCCCCACAACCAATGCCTCAGGATCCACACGCACAGGCCATCAGCCAAGGAGGGGCCGGCCTCTGTCATCGGGACACTGAGGATGTCCGACGGTGCCCAGAGGGGCAGACAGGGTCTCCGTGGCTGGCAGCGTGGGCGTGAAATGCCCACAGCGGGAACCAGTGGGCAGTACCTTCCTAAAGATAATGTCCTCACCCCACCTGGCCCAGCTGAGATAACTCCTGTGAGAGCTGTGTGCCGGGACATGGCGCATTCACAACCGAAAAACCCAGGAATGACCCCTGTGCCATCGGCGGCAAGAGAGTGGGCACACATGAGCCAAGCAGTACAACACGGAACGGTATATGGCAGCGAAACAGAGCGGTGCCCTGTGACACTCACAGACGCACCTTGGAACACCAAGTGAGGGGGGCCTGCCCCTGGGACACAGAATTCAAACCTCCAGCAAAGCTACGCCGTAGGACGGTTAGACAAACACAGGTGCTACAGAAAAAGCAAACTTGAGATGGTGCTTCTGGCAGGGGGCGGGGCAGGATGCATGAGCATCAAGGTCGATGGACCGTCTAATGCCTGGGCTGGGTATCAGGTTCATGGGTATCCATTACATTAATTTTTAAAATGAATGACTGCGTATAATAAAACACAGAGATAAATAAGTACAGCACAACAAACAAAGGCTGTCTGTGAATCAAGGATGAGCGGGTGTTGAGAAGCAGGGATTCTGATTAAATCACAATTTGGTTTAATCCCTGAGGATGATAAAAGCAAAAACATCCAAACTCAAGTCCGGGAGACTCTGCCTCCAGGCTCTCAGCCAGAATGCGGCGCTCACAGAGTGGAACTCTGAGCCAGAACTGGGTTTGGGCCCCCTCCCTGCCAAGGCAGCACGATCCACTCCAAGCCCGAGAGATACAAAGAGCTGGCATCTACCTGTGCCGGCGAGGTCTGGTCCGGCCCCGTCCAGGCTGCTCTGCTGACACCGGGCTGGCCCCAGCTCCTGGGCGGTCTTGGGGCCTCTGAGCAGGCTCTCCGCTGGGGTCCCCAGCCAGGGCTCGGGCTCCCGGGCGGGAGGGTGGGTGGCTGCCGGTGCCTCGAGAGATGCAGAGGTGACCTGGAATGACAGGAGGGTAGACATGGTGAGTCTTGGCCATACCTGCCTGGAGGTGCCCCATGGGTGGGACCCATGGGCTGTTGAACACCTTCCTCCCCCACGATGGCCAGGCATTTGCAGGCAGGACAGCCTGGCTGGCGACGGGCAGTGGAGACTTGGTTCCCGGCAAAGCCAGTGCAATGTCTTCCCCTTGCAGCAAACCCTGCCCGGGAGCACCAGGCCGGCCGCTGGACACGGGTTCCATCCACAGGCCCTGGCACTACCCGTGCCCATGTGGCTCTGCATGAAGCTGGCAATCACTGCCTACTAGGTAGTTACAGCTACAAAGATAAACCTACCCACCTTCAGCTCGCCCAGCGGGGTAGTCATCCTGTCCCCTTCACCCCCAACCCCTTTTCCGCATTTTAACAATTGTGGGAAAATAGACGTAACACAAAATATACCATCTTGGCCATTTTTAAGTGTATAGTTCAGTGGCATTAAGTTCATTCACAGTGTTGTGCAACCATCATCACCATCATCCTATTCCAGAACTTTCTCTTTATCCCAAATGGAAACTCTGTCCCTATTAAACACTAACTTCCTACTTCCCTCCCTCAGCCCCCGGCGACCACTGTTGTGCTTTCTGTCTTTTTAACTTTGACTCTCCTGGTTGCCCCATCCCTTTTTCACACCTGGGGAAACGGAGGCTCAGAAAGACGGTAGAAGCCTGAGGATGCCAAGACGGGGTGAGCCCAGGTCAGCAGGGCTTCAGATTCGGGGCTCTCCCCTCCGACCTCAGAGGCCAGGGCAGGAGGGTGAACTAAGCCCCTGGTGGGTTTCTGGGCCTGAATAACCAATTACAACTACCTCAGGGCCAGTCCCGGGGACCTGCAACCCCCATTTCCTGATTATACGCCCCAGGGCCAGCAGGGCTGCAGAAAAGCAGCTTCACGTTGATCCGGTTTTTTCAGGGATTAGGACTATAAAACCAGAGTGCCTAAGAGAGATGGATGGCTCAGAATTCCTTGGGTGAGCACAGGCCCCAGCAGCCCTATGTGCGAGAGACGGATAAATTTACCGTTCGTTTCCGGGAACGCTTTAATTTATGAGATCCATATGGTGACACAGCCCAGACCGCAGCCCCCACAAATCCCACAGGCGTGCTGGCGGCTTAGGCTGGAGCCAGGAGGAGGCAGCACCTTGGCCCAGCACACGTCATTCATTCATTCACTCACTGGCTTGCTGGGGACCCGGGGAGGGGGCGTCGTCAACATGGCAGGGACCCTGGAGCCCGCTGCAGATCCCACCCTGGCAGGTTTCAGACACTCTTGCAACATTGCCCTAATCTTTTTGGGAAACTGTCAGGGCTGCTATGTTCGCCATTAGTCATAGGATGACCCGTCCGGCCAGCTCCAGGGAATATTTGGGATTTGAACCCAAGTAGTTGGGAGAAAACTTGGCTGTTGCAATGCAATCAGGGGCGGGAGATGCACAGCTTTTAATTAGAGAACAGCGGGTGAAGGGATGCAGAGGACAAGCTCTGCAGGGATTTCAGAATGAAAGACTCCACAGGGCTGGGGAATCCAGGCAGGCTTCCTGGAGCAGGTAGAATGTGAACTAGGCCTTCAAGGGGAGCAGGTTTGAAAGGAGTGGGATTAGGAGGGACAAGAGATTCAAGCACACATCCCGCTGGGGGCCAGGAGGGTTAAGCCATGAGCCAGGCACTGGGTGGGTGAGAATGCAGGCAGCCCCTCTCAGCACCAGTGGGGTGGTTGCATGGAGGGACTCGAGCCCCATCTTGCCAGATCTGATTTTTCAAGAGGAAACTGGGCATCTATTTTTAAAAGCTGCACTCTCATGATTATTAAGTGTTGGCAACTAATCAAAATCATGTCAGAGCAAACCCCTCCTGCCCTGCTGGTGGGATGGTAAAATGGCGTCGAAGTGCCTGGAAATTGCTCAAAAGATCAAAGCTGGAGTTATCGTATGACCCCACAATTCCACTCCCAGGCAGATATGCAAGAGAACCAAACACGTGTGCCCACACCAAATCCTGAATGTTCATAGCAGCCCTCAGTCACAGAGATGAATGAATTCAGCCAACAACACGAATGAACCTGCAGGTGGGTCAGGCAGGTGGGCGTGCAGCCGGGACACACCTGGACGTGCAGCCTGAGCAGAGGACCCACAGAGCCGTGTGAGGATAAATAATGGGTTGGAAGCAGCTGAATCTGTAGTCGTTTGTTACGCAGCAGTGGATAACGCATACAACCAGCGAGGCTCTAGACTCGTACCTGCCCAGCTGTCAATGCTCCCTAGCACTCTGTGTGCCAAGCCACATGCCACAAACACGAGGGCACCAATGCCAGTCCCTCCTCTGTTCTAGCTCTTCCCGCTGGTCAATGCTAATGGCTGGGCGAGGCTGCCAGACACAGGAAGTGCTGTGAATACGGGTTAGCTCATGACAGCCCCGTTTTAGGTGGAGGCAAAGGTTCTCCGACAGACCAGGCGGAGGCCGAGAGAAACGCCATTGTCCTGCAGAGTCGAACTTACCATTCCTCGCTAATAAAAAGCAGGCCCGTGGGCCAACACATTCATCGTGCCTTCTCGCTACCAGGGCCACCGTTGGGGTCAGGCATCATTTAAAATACTATTAGGACCAGGCCTGGGACATCTATCCTCCACCCCACCCCTAAAGCTCACGGGGCCCCATAGTCCGAGCTGGATAAAGGCTATTGTTTCCTTTACGTCCCGGGACTGGGGCCATTACGTTTAAAGCAAGTCAGTTAACGAGAAAAGGACAAAGCGCATAAAGGGGCACCCTAATGGGCTCTCGAGGGGTGACACTTTCTCCAGGGAATACGTGGTCTCTGAGCACCACTCAGGGTAGGTTCAGGGAGAGGGTGGCGTGGGGGAGAAGGCAGACACCGTGCCAGCTCCAAGGGGGACACCGTGGTGTTTTCAGTGCCGTTTGATTTTATTAACTGCATTAGTCCACAAGATCCCACTGAGAACTTCTGCTCTATTGTGTGTTTTTTTAAATTAACTTTTATTGAGATATAATTCACATACCATACAATTCACTCATTTACAGTAAAGTGTACAATTCAATGGCTTTTGATAAATTTGTGGAGCTGTGTAACCATACCAGACTCCATGTTACAACATTTTCATCAGCCCAGCTAGTGTGGCTCAGTGGTTGAGCATTGACCTATGAACCAGGAAGTCAAGGTCCTGTCAGGGCACATGCCTGGGTTGCAGGCTCCATCCCCAGTAGGGGGCAGGCAGGAGGCAGCCGAGCGATGATTCTCTCTCATCTTTAATGTTTCTCTCTCTCTCCCTCTCCCCTTCTCTCTGTGAAATCAATAAAAACGTATCTTTAAAAAAACTTTATAAAATAAAAGAACATTCTCACCTCCCCTAGAAGAAACCTCACACCCACTAGCAGTCATTCTCCACTCCCCTCCCCAGCCCCCGGCATCGGCAACCTCCGTTGTGTCTCTGTTTGCCTGTTCCGGATGGTTCATATGAATGGAATCTACAACATTCCAGGCCCTTTGTGTCTGGCTTCTTTCACTCAACATCATGTCTCCCAGGCTCATCTGTGTTGTAATGTGTAAAACACATATTTTTAAAAACAAGGGAAGTTCCAGTTTGAGGGCCCATCGCATCCCAGAGGTTGCTGGATGGAAGGCTCAGGATTTCTCTCTCCAGCAGGGACTGGTTGCTGTTCCTGGGGCCTGTTTCCCTCTGCCTCCTGGTACCCAGCCGGACTCCATCTCTCAGCCTCCTTGCAGCAGGGTGGGGCTGGGCACTGGGTCCTGGACACTTTCCCCAGCTGGGAGATCTTAGCAAAGTGACGGAATGTCTCCCAGCCTCAGTTTCCCTTCTGCAAAATGGGAGTGATAGATAACACAGGGACTGCCTACCTCCCAGAGGGACGGTGGGGGGAATTAGATGTTATTTCTGTTATTTAGCACATAGCAGGTGCTCAAGAAACAGCAGTTGATTTCATGACCTGACAGCATAAGCGTTAGGAACAAAAGTCAAAACGGCACAGTGGCTAGGGACCCCAAAGGCCTGGAGGGGTGTGTGTTAGAGAAGCCTTCACAGCCTCGGCCTTGTGCAGTTCAGCCCCAGCTGCCAGGACTGCCTTCTAGGCTCCTTGCCAGCTGCTGGCCTGAGGCCCAAGGCAGCCCAGGGGTCCCTGAAGTGAGGGGGACAGGGTCTGAGTCATATACTCCCTTATTTTTCCTGATCATCCTGAGTCTCCTCTTTTTCCCCCCAATAAGCTCAAGATGCACTACAGGACGCTGCCGTGCCGATCCTGAGTAGAGCAGACCTGGGACCGAGACTTCCCAGTCATGACTGATCTGACCTCAGTGTATGCCTCTGGGAAATGGGCTAGTAATGCCTACCCTCGATATACTGAGCACCTACCATGTGCCAGGTGCCCACTGAGCACCGGACATCAGTAGCCCATTTAATCCTCCCAAGAACCCTACCTTAACTGCCACTTGGTCAAGGAGGAAACTGAGGCACAGAGAAGTTAAGTCAGCTGCCCAAGGTCCCCCAGCTGGTCAAAGTCAGAGCCGAGGTTCCGGACCAGTGCTTTGTCCTCTGTCAAATACCTAGAGCCCACAGCGTGGATGAGACAGGGAACAGACTGTAGGAGACAGAAGAGGAGAGGCCAGCACCCAGTGGCACAAAACAACACAGCATCACCTTCCTTTCGCCCCGAAGAAAAATCAGGCGCAGGCAGGAAGCCAAGTATGGGGGGGGCACCCCCCTCCCACACGTCCATGGCAGGTGCATGCCTTGGTTGGAAGGGGAGTGGGCAAGGCCGAAGGGTACCTTGTGGGCTGGCAGAGACCTCTGCCACCTGCCAGGGACCACAGGTCACAGGACTGGTGCCATCTGCCAGGAAGGGAAATAAGGGGACAGCCCTGCACGGAGGTCGTCCCTCTTCCACCTTTCCTGGTCCCCACCAGAGCCCACCCACAAAGACATTGTGCTCA